CTTGATACAAAGTGAGTCGTGTCTCCTTTGTTCAAGTTTTGGCTTATCCATTGAAAATCACGTTGAATTGTGGCGTCATTCTACCAACAACTCTTGATTTGCTATTTCGTTAGGTTGTGGATCCAGATTAAATTCAAGATTCACATCTCAGGGGTTAAAGGGGTCGAGATTTTTCCATCAACTTTGTTCCATAACCTAATCAAGATAGATCCTTCCACTAACTGTGCAATTCGTTTCTTCAAGAGCGGGAGCTTGGGGATTCGGGTTTGCATCAAAGGATCATTCAAACCCCTCCAGTAAGTGAAAATACCGAAACATAATGATCAAAATAAACGTTTACTTGCTTGTTAATGGGATGTATAGGACAACGATCTAGAACCCCTACTTAATGATTGATAAGGACCTTCAAATTGTTAGCTCCATATCGGTCTAGTTCCTCCTTAAGTCTCCTAAGTGACATTTCAACAGATTCTCTGCATTGCTGCATTTCAATCATCTACAAGGTCTCAATATCCATGAAATATATAGGAACCCCCTTGAAATTTTCACATTTTTGCTAGACTAGTTGGTGAAGACTAGGCAAGTGATCACTGGAGAGATTCCATTCCACAATGTTTACACTCTAATTTCAAAAATTTGAGATGGAGGAACTTACATTCAATCATCTCCTAGTTTCGATCCTCAAGAACTACTGAAGATAATTTGGGAATCACAAGATTCACTAGACTTCCAATTGTAGAAATATGATCCCCTTGCAAGAAGAAATTTGATAGAGACAACTACTTAAGACTCGAGGGGAAATCAAATTCACTAACATTAAGACTCTTACCACGGTACAAAATCCTAAGTGCCTCCAACTTGTTTAACTCTTCCAATCTTCGAATATTATTGCAATTCATGGAATCATTTCCTACTTTTGAAAAGATGCATATCAATTTTCGAAGATATGGAAACCTTCTCGTTATTGCTTCTGCATGTTCCTTACAAGAAAGAGATAGCTATTAAGTAACAATTTTGTCCTATATTTGGATGACATTTTATGTTACTTTTAGTCATTTTTGCAATGTTATAAGAAGAAAATGGTCCATTTTGGTTAGAATTGATTCTAAATACTACTTGGCACTTAAATGTGATTTTTTTTAAAATCCCTGACAGGATTCCTGGAGGGATTCAAGGTAAAAGCAGTGCAAGTTGCACAAAACAAGGGCAGTGAATCCCTTCAAGAATCCTTGGTCGGATTCTTGGCCAGATTGAATCCAGTCACCTCTTGAAACATTGTGGTTGATTATGTGTTAATTGATTGAGGACAAGCAACGATTCAAGTGTTGGAGACTTGATAAGTGACTATTTTATACTATATTTGGAGACATATTGTGTTACTTTTAGTCACTTTTGCAATGTTATAAGAAGAAAATGGTCCATTTTGATTAGAATTGATTCTAAATGCAACTTACTGGTTGAATGAGAATTTTGTCCCTTTGCTATAGGACTTCGAAACTAACATGATCATTGGACAAGAAACAAGCTTGCAATATGTTGGTTGAAGTCTATAGTTCGCAAAGTTGGCAAGTTTCAAAGGTGGCTTGACTCACATGAGCAAGAAATTGGAAAACTTGTCAGTTAAGAAAATTGGACTGAATCCCTTCAAGAATCCCTGACCGAATTCCTGGAGGGATTCGAGGCAAAAGTAGAGCAAGTTGCACAAAACAAGGGAAGTGAATCCCTTCAAGAACCCCGGGTTAGATTCTTGGCTAGATTGAATCCAGTCAAGTATCTGTGGTTGGATTCATGGAGCGATTCTGGTCAAAATTATCAACTGCAAATTGCGCAACTGGGATTCAACTCCATTATTTCACTTCTTTTGAGAGAGGAATTTGCAAAATTTTTAGCTGTAAATAAGAGGATCTAGAACCACCTTTTTGACCAGTCTTTCTCTATATAAACACGAGTTGCAAGAGTCAAAGGAAGTTTGGGGAGTGCAAGAGCACACTACAAAAATGTAGCTCTTATATTTTCTTAGTTTTAGGTTAGTATAGTCTAGTTTAGGTAGTAATATGTGTCATTCACTCTTGTATATTGGCTAGACTAGGATGAAGATGGAGATAAAGAAGAAAGGGATAAAACTCATGTGACAAGAAGTCTTTCTTCTCCAACTCTTTATCTTTTGTATTGGATTTTTATGTGTGGGTAACAAACAAGTTTTGGATTTGTATTTCATTATGTATACCTAAAGTTTCATACCTTGGGTTTTGGTTGAACTTTCTATCATTATATTGTGTTGATTTTTTGATTATTTGACGCTATTATTTTGAGCAAGTTTTGTATTAAATGATTATTGTTTACTGCAATAGCCAAGGAAGCTCAAAGATATACTATTATTGATCCCAATACTCAAACAATAAAGGACAGAGATCCTACAGAGTCATATGCTGCCTTTCTGAAACACAACCATGAACTTCTCTGACCCGCTCTATTCTCTCATTTACTGACCCATGAAACAAACCACTTGAATAAGCGCTTTCTACCTCTGGATTATAGCGCTTAAAATTTCTTTTGTTTTTTTTGCAATTTTTCTTATTCTCATCAGTCGTTTTTGGTTTTACGAAGAAGCTTAAAATGAAATGGATGAGGAAAAAACTCACAAGAAAACCTCCTCCAAAGGATTTACAGTGTGAAGAAATACCACTACATGATCACGTCATCCGACTATTAAGCAAGAGAAATTCTTTGCAGATAATAAGGATAGCAACATTTGATAGACCAAGTAGTTTAAATTTGTGGAAATAGTCCTTAAAAAAATGAAGCATTGGCTAAATGGTAAAATCTAGATCACTTGTTCCAACAAACTAAGCGATAAGAGTGCAATCTATAAAATCAAAATTACTAACATGATAACAGGATGCATAGCACTCCAAGGATCAACTTAAAGTTCTGATGATACGAAATCCCCTTTTGACGATGGACAAGGACCTTCAAATGCTTAGTTTCATATCTAATTTTCTCCACCTCCTTAAGTCTTCTGACTAATTCTTCATATATATATCTCCACACCTCTACACTTCAATTATATGAAGGTAGTAATGTCTACAAAAAATGATGAAGATTAGGCAAGTGGTCATAGGCACTCCATTTGACAATCTTTAAGTTGTCCGATTTCAAGATTTTGATTTCAAGGAACTCGCCAATCTTGCTTCTTCCATTGCATAATTGTCAAAAGCTTAGAAAGTGCTGATGAAATTCTAGTTAAATACCTCATTCTTCAGAGTCATGACCTTTATCATATAAGGTCTAAACTTGTATTTTTCTCCACATGTTATCAGAATGGTGGCTATTTTGGATGTCACAATGTCAAATGTATACAAAGCACAAACAAGTGTCCATGAGGACACATGCTATTCCAAAATTCTAGCCGTTTGGGGAAAAGAAAATGCACATTTTCAGTTTAAACTACATTTACAGAAGCACATAGAACAACATGATGTCCAAGACATTAAGCTGTTTTTTTAGCAACTCGAAGAAAATATTCCCGCAAATTTATCATTCCAAACATCTGGCAGGAAATCTGATGCGTTCCAAGTGATTTAACTAGCTGCATCAATTTTAGAAGTACTACAATTTTGTACTAATTTCATTCCAGCCAATTTAATCATTTAAAACCGTTAATGAGGCACATCCATGCCATGTTCAATTTTTGAATGTGAACTCAAAAGCTAATCCAACAAACAACTACTTACATTCAACTCCGCTTCAATCCTTTATATAACTCGAAAATAAACGAATAGGAAAGTGTATATTCCATTTCTCTCCTTTCCAACACAAGCAGTGACACACATGCACTCATATAGACCATTTGCAATACCAAGAAAACTGAGATGGAAATAAAAAGAAAACATTAATCAATAAAAAAAATCCCAAAAACTTAACAGGAATTAGGTAAGGACAAAATGTGGAGGAAGTTAAGACAATGGAATCTTGGATGGAAACGCAACCAAAATATATCAAAATTGGCTTCATAGCTAGAAGGACTATAGAATATCTTTTTTCATCACTAGATGTATATATTCTAATGATATAGTAACATGTTAATGCTTTCTTCTTCCACTTGTGCTAATCTACTTTTTGAATTTGTATAAAAAACACTACAAGAAATTTGGCCTTTTGTGACAACATTCTCTGTGACAAGAGAGAAAGTTGTCACAATTGAAAACTTTAGTGATGACCTTTAATGTCGTCATACTTGATCGTGGGTTCATCTGTCAACAGTGACAACACGGAATAAGTCGTCACAATATGGATGGCGCGCAACTATCCAGTGTGGCGGGAGATCACCATTGTGACGACTGGAAAACATGTTGTCATTGAAACTAGTCGTACAGTGACAACTTGAAATATCGTCACAATATGGTTGCCAGTTCTAAATTAGTGACAACAACTAGTCGTCACTGTTCAAAGCATTTATTCCCATCTCACTTTCACTAATTCTACTATGTCACCCTAATTTTTTCAATATGGCCCATATATTGTAAATAAATTTTATTAATTCTACTATGACACCCTAACTTTTACATTTTGATGCCATATACCACCTTAATATTTTTAATATGCCCCATGTGCTGTAAATAAATTTTATTAATTTTACTATGACACCCTAAATTTTACATTTTGACCCCATATACCACCTTAATTTTTTCAATATAGCCCATGTGTTGTAAATAAATTTTATTAATTCTACTATGACACCCTAACTTTTACATTTTAACCCCATATACCACCCTAATTTTTTCTATATGGCCTATATGCTGCAAGTAAAATTAATTAATTATGTTATGACACCCGAACTTTTATATTTTAGCTCCTTATTTGGTAAACTAATCTCATTAACTCTACCATGATACCTTATCTTTTGCAATTTAGCCTCGTATGTGATAAAGAAAGGTTTTGTTAATTCTATTATGGCACCCTATGTTTTTACACTTTAGGTTGTGTTTATCATTAGCAAAATGAGGAAGGTATTGTAAAAAATAATATTTACCTATTTTTTAATTATTCCAAACATAGCTAATACCTTATTATAAAGTTAAAAAAATATCATGAATTCATTATTTAGTTCTTTTGACAACATATGGGAAATTACTGATTAACATAGTTTGAAAATAATGGAAGAGAATAATAAAATTTAATATGAAATTAAGTAAAAATCTTGACAATTCCATGACTGGAATTTGTTATGTATTACAATTTACAATAATCAAATTGTTTATGGTTTATGAATCAGTACATGTATCAAATAGATTTAGTGTTTCATGCATGTATTAGTAAACCATTTTGGTTATTTGATCAACTAGTTTATTATTAACTAGTAAACCAATTGGATGACTGAAGTTTATTATTAATTACAATAGTCACATTGTTTATGGTTTATGAATCGGTACTTGTACCAAAAACATTTAGTGTGTCACGCATGTATTAGCAAACTATTTTGGTTATTTAATCAACTAAACAGTATTGTTAGGACTTGTCAAACCATAATTCGTCCATAATTACTAAAATTATTAAATTAATACCAAAAATATTTACATCAAAAGATTTTTTTGAATCATAAACATATTTTTAATAAGCTTTTTAGTTTTTGGACATTAATTTTTTGTAGAGATAAAAAAAACCTGTGTTAGTAAACAACATTATCAAAAAACACTAAATTTTCATATTCTAAAGTTTTAATGCAACAAATAAAGTTTTAATACAACTTATGAGCTAAAAACTCAAATTAATAAACAACTTTAATTACACAAACAACTTTAATAAACAACTTTAATTACTCAAATTAATATACTAGAAAAGGTGTTGTTTTTGTAAAGAAAGGTCCAAATAGTTAGTACAAAAGTCACTTGAAAGCGTTATTTTTTGGCTGAAGCTAAAATGGAAGTGGGAAGCTCAAAATTGGAGTAGAGGCGAGGGAAGCTGAAATTTGGAGCACCGACAAGGGAAGCTAAAAATTGAACAAAATTGAACGAGTAGAGATGGGTAAACAAAAGACACAGAAACGACGTCATTTTAGCAAGAGTTAAACAAAAACACCCATAACACTTGGGGTGCTTGGGACATCATTTTAGCAAGACATTCATCGCGACATCTCCAAGAACTCTCGCCAACCCTACGCTGTCTCTAGGTCCGCCGGCTACCAGACCTCCGCCGAGTCTTGGGGTACTAGTCTCGCTGTTTCCCGTATCTCTCGTGTTCCTGGCAGTGGCACTCACCGTGCCGGCTAGGGTGCCTATGGCAACATGTGCTGTAGCGGCCGCATGTTTGCTCCGACCAAGATTTGGCACCGTTGGCACCGCAGGTCCCAGTTAACAAGAAATGGTTTGCCGTGGTTTCTGCCATCGCCGCCTCTGCAGTGCCTTCCCTTGTCATGGCCCGCAGCCACCGGATCGAGTCTGTCCTGCAAATCCCCTGTGTGATCTCCGATTTTGCTGAGGCCATGGAGAAAACCTCCAATGCTATCAGTCTTCTCAAGAAAATTGGGGCTTACCTTGATGCTGAGAAGGCTAAGGACAGCCAGGGTATCCGCCCAGGAAAGGGTAAGATGTGTAACAGCCACTACATCTGCAGGAAAGTCCTCTGGTTGCGTATGGTATTGAGGGGGCTAAGCTCGTGAAGGCCTTTCGCAACATTCCTGGAATCGATATGGCCCACGTGGACCATTTGAATTTGTTGAAACTTGCCCCGGGAGATCACGTTAGGAGGTTTATTGTTTGGACGAAATCAGCATTTGAGAAATTGGATGAGATTTACAGGTCATTTGATAGAGGATTAAAGCAGTCATCTGGTAAACTTGAGATATTAAAGCATTTCTATAATCTTAATATATTAACTATATTTGTCAAGCTGCTATTTGAGCTGCAAATTTCTTTTGCATCTGTTACATAGAAACTTTCTTCAAGTGAAGAACATTTAACTATTGAACTTTGATAAAGATATGAGTAGGGTAAGGGCGAATATATACATCAACACTGAAAAGCCGGTATTCATTGCTTGCAGTCTTCTGGCATCTTAATTTCCATGCCTTGATTGTTAAAATAGTTTGGTTTTACTCTTCTTGCGTTGTTATTAAGATAGTTTGGTTTTACTCTTCTTGTGTTGTTGTTACGTGGTTAAGTCTATGGCAACCTAGAGATTCTTATGTTATATCTATAGCAAATCCCCGTGTTGGCCACTCTATGCAGAAAAGATAGTTTCCATATGCAACAGTGCTCCTAAGCTGTTTTATTACTTTGAATCTGATACAATTGGCTGCCAATTATGCTTCTAAATGGCATTCTGTTAGCTCGTATCCATTATGTGTAACATTCTTTTGTAATTTGTGGTGGCTGCTTATGGTTCTCATCAATTTTGTTGGCCTGGGTTATAAATGAATGATGGGGCTCAAATCTTTCCTTGTCGAAACTGCTATAGTTATTATGATTTTCTTCTATATTTGTTCAAGGAGTTGACATGTAAAATTTTTTTTTAAAAAAATGTTGACATGTATGATGAATCTTGTTAACAGATGCTAAGAAAGTTAAGTAAACAGCTGAATGGTGAGGATTGGATGTGGAACAACCTAAATACCTTGTGCTAGGCAATAGGATCTATATTAGGATCAATGATGGGGGAGCAAGTGTATTGCTTTATGCTGTATATTTTTCCTGTTTTTTAGTCTTTCTTCGCTGAGTGACTATTTCTGGCTTCTTTCTACTCAGAATGAGACCTTGTGTTTGGATAACTTTCAGTTTTGTGGTTCTTTTTCTTTTTCACCATTTTCTTACTTTTATTTTTTTACATCAACTGTGGCAGGAAAATAGATTTCTTGTGATGGTGATACGTGATTTGTTAAACCTTTGTGAGATTACAAAAGGCAAAGACAACAAAGCAGTTATTGCAAGTAATATAATGTGAGATGTTAAACTGCATTTTCATTCTGATAGAGTAGGTAGCAGTAACTAGGCATTCTTATGTGATAACTTTATCTCAGTTAACTATTTGCAAATGAAATTTATTCAGGCAAATGACCGTGAACTCCAGTTATCCATGGTTGATGGTGATTTCAAGAAGTTTGAAGGAAAATGGTCTGTCAAATCTGGTAAAAGGTAAATTCTGGTGTAACATATTTTGCATCTCCTTCCTGGTGATGTGTGTTTCTGAGGATGATTGAAGACTCAAGTATCATTTGGTTCTTAACATTTTTGGCAATCCATGCTGGTTATCCATCTCAACTATTGCATGAAAATGTAGCCTCTTTAGTTTTGGAGTCTTTATTCAACTAAAATGATATTGTTTACCTTTACATAGCACTGGTAAACATCTTTAGTGCCTAGACTATTGTCTACTGCTTTAATGCCTAAAGGAGTCAGATTTTGTCTACAGCCAAAGTTCATTTCCAAATAATGTTGGACATTTTTAGACTAACTCGAGGCACTAAATAGTTATAATATTATTAAAGCAGTGCCTAGTTTTAATTGTACATAGTTTTAATTGCAGCAAATGATGTGAAAAATTAATAACTGGATTTGTCAAACATTTGAGGTTGTAAGGGTTTTTTCTTTTTTTCTTTCAGATAGTCTAAGTAATCAATGGTTGAATGTTCTTGCACTTGATTAATTTTGTTGCAGAAACTCTCTACTTTGCAATGATGTCTACTATTTTCTAACATTTTTTAGTTTGACAATGGCAGTAGTAGCATAAAAGAGTACCATGTTCGAGGCTTTGCAGTTTCCCCCTGATTCTTGCGTTAGTCATATCAGATCTGTCAAAATCTTCATCAAGTTTTATCAATCTGCTATATTGAGAAGAATCAAAGTTGTGATGATTAACAAGGATCCTGACAAGTAACAAAATTCTAGGACTTCTTTTTGTGTGCCTAAGATGTTGTCAAATTTAATAGTTTGACGGTCATATTTTGATCAGCTATTGATTTGTTAAATTAAGTGGCGTTTATTAGATCAGCTATTAAATTAAGTGGAGTTCAAGGATGAACACTATCACACACATGAGTTTTCTTGATGAATGGATTCACCTTGTCAAATTTATCTTTTTGAAACTGGTTGGTTCCTTGAACTTTGTGGCTGTTGAGCTTTTCAAATTGTAGAAAACCTATTATCTAGACCTTAGTTTCTGTGCCCTTCTGACCCTAGGAATCCATATTCCAGTTTCCTTATCTTGCATCGAGCCTCCAGTGATGAAGAGTCTAGCTATAAAACTGATAAACGCCTATAAAGTATATATTTTCCATTATATAAGCAGCGAATGTCCTAATAATTGGAGTTAGATTTTGGAAGAAATAACAGCATTTTTAGAGGTGGGGACACCTGGGAAAATTTGTGTGTTATTATCTAGAAGTAGTCCCATTCCTCAAGGTCTGAGTAAAGCATGTTAAAGTAGCGACATGTACTGCTTTTTCATGCTTAATATAAGTGGTACAGGAAGACATTTTTATTCGGCCGAAGTTGGTTGCTAATCGGTAGTTCAAGACTTTGGCACTCAGATTACACTTTTTCTAGAGGGAATGGAATGGGTCCTATTTTCGGCTTCAATTAAATAGAAAAGAGCGTTGTCTTCGAGGTCATAGATGAGAGCTGATAAGATAGAAAATGAAACTAGATTATGAATCAGGATGAGAAACTATTGTTTGTACTTTCAATTTCCTTAGTGGGAGATGTCTGTGATAAAAATCATGGAGCCATGTTTTGAAGCATACTTTTGTCTGCAGGTCGTGCTAACTCCGACACATTTAGCTATTGTGATGGAATATGTTGCTGGTGGAGAGCTCTTTGCAAAAATTTGTAGTGCTGGTGGATTCAATGAAGATGAGGTGTAAACACATGCAAAATATATTTCGTTTGCCTTGATCTCATTTTCTTTTGGCATTGATTTTATAGAGAGATACTTATAGGACGCTTTTTCTTCCAGCAGCTAATATCTGGTGTTAGTTACTGTCATTCAATGGTGAGATATTAGAACTGTTTATTCTTTTTGAGTCCTCTTATTATTATCTCATTGTTCTCTCAATGCAAGAAATCTGTCACAGGGACTTGAAGCTGGAAAACACACTTTTGGATGGGAGTCCAACACCACGTCTTAAAATATGTGATTTTGGTTATTCTAAGGTTACAAATCTTTGCATTTGGAATTAAAAAAAATTGTGATTCAATTGACTTCATATTTTTTTCTGTGGATAATTTGAAATTTTGTTGGTTTCTGGCATTTTCTTGCAGTCCGGTTTGTTGCACTCACAACCCAAATCAGCAGTTGGAACACCAGCATATATTGCACCTGAGGTCCTGTCAAGGAAGGAATATGATGGGAAGGTCTGTATCATCAAAATTCTTGAAGAATTTACTGAGATTCTCTCCCTCTGAGCATTAGTTTCCTCTTCTAGTTAACTCTTCACTGTGATAGTATAATGGAATTTCCTCCCTTTTGTTGTGATATGGTATTACTAGATCGACTAGTATCCCTAACTTGCATCCAAACATAGTCAAAAGTAGTAGTACTATTTCTTCTAAATCAGCAATATGGCTCTTGTCTCAAGTATCTTGTAAACTTTGTGCTAGTGGTTATGCTTGTTCAGTTCATTTCTTCCTGCTTAACAGGCAGGCACTGCTGCCTACTTTCTGCTCATTCAATAGTTTTGTCTCAAGAAGGTCTTCATTCATTTTGTAATTGCTGTCTATTTTCTAGATTGCGGATGTATGGTCCTGTGGTGTGACATTGTACGTGATGTTGGTGGGAGCTTATCATATTGACTTAATTGGATTTTTGTTCAGTATGACTATTCATTCAAATTTAATAGTGTATGCTTGTAATGGCATATTTTTTGACTGAAATCGATTCTAATGCATATGATACTTTTCTTTCAATGCAGTACAATGCTATTAAATGCTCTTGAGGAGATGAAAAAGGTTGGCTTTTGGATATGCTCATGAAGATGACTTCAGTTTGACACAAATTGCTGCTTTAGTCTATGTTTTTGTTTGGAAAGAGTACTTTGTTTTTTTGGATGCGTAATGGCTGTTACTAGTTGAACTGATGTGAATTTAGTACTCTATTGTTTGGATGGATAATGGCTGTTAGTACTTGAACTAATGTGGGCTTTGGAACCCATTTTGGTTAATGTGTGTTCTGATGAATTTAGAGATGTTTATAACCATATATATATATTTGAGGGTTCATTGTACATTAATTACTATCGTTTTTTGCATTAGTCGAGCCACAATTTTCTGCTATGGTTGTTGAAAATGCAATAGAATTGCAGCTCTTGTAGACAAAGTTGTAAGTTCACTAAGTGACGATTATTCTTGTCATAGAATACTAGGAGTGAGAGTGACAAGTTCAAGTCGTCACTGTGCGCGTTCAAATTTGTGACGACTTCTGCTATCTTTTATGACAAAAAAATTTGGAAATAGCGACAAGAAACTTCGTCACAGAATACTATTCTTTAGTGACGACTTAGTCTTCGTCATTAAATAATAATATTTAGTGACGACTTTGTAGAGGTTGTCACACATACCCATTTGTGACATAGAATTAGTGACAACGATATGACAATGGAAAAAGTCGTCACTATACTCATATAATGACGACTTTCTAATTTTTAGTGATGACTTTCTATTGTCACAAAAGGCCAAATTTCTTGTAGTGAAAATCAAGAGTCTCCACAATTACCACTATTTATCGCACCAATGGCACAAAACACTATCGCAATTAGGACAAGATATGTAGAAACTAAAACAAAGTATTGATTGCATCGATTGCACAAGACAGCATAGAAGCTGACATAAAATTTGTATAAAGTAAAGTAGTGATGATAGACATTCACGTAATTAGGGATGGCAATGAGTTGGATCGAACTTGAATACTAGTTTATTTGAACTCAAGCTTGAAGACATTATCTAAGCTCAAAGGTCAACGTGCATTCAACTTTGAAGCTCGAGCTTGATTCCAGTAAAAGTTAAGGTGCTTGAGATCGAACTCGAGTTTGCTTGAGAAGCAAATTAAGATTGAGCTTGAACTTGCGTAAGCTCGAGCAGTATGAGATGTAATTTGTTCTACAAATGTTACTTTTTCAGGTAATTGAAGCTTGGAAAGCTCATCAGGCTTTCAAGTAAAGCAGATAGATGCTCGAATTTCACTCAATAATCGACTTGAGTAGCCTTAAACTCGGTCAAACTCAAATTTGAATCGAGTCACAAGCAGCTCGATTCATGTACAACCCTATACATAATAAGCTGAATATGTATGCTTTAATTATACTTTCAGGATATGCCAAATTGTTAAAGTTTGCAACTTTAACTTGCACTGCAAAATTTTTAAATAAGAAGATCCCAGCCATGAATTTTCCATTGCAATTGCATCCAACAATTATTAAGGATCCTTCTTGCATGATCAAAATAACGGAGTGTATTTGGCTCTTTTGTTTTTTTATTCAAAATCATTTGGCGTTTATCAATCTAACTTCAAATATTCATCTTTTCACCAGTATAAAATTGATGCTAGGTAAGATAGAAAAAGGTCATTTGTTATTTAGATCATTCTGATTATAGTATTATAAGGAGGTTCTTTTGGGCTACGCTAGGTTGGACCAGCATGGTTGATTTCTATGTTCAAGTTTTGGAATTGGGCTGTAGTAGTAGTCATAGTGTTTTTTTCCCTGAATCAGTTCTTAATTCAAATTTTGTTTGAATTCCAATAATATACCTCTGAAGTTGAGTTAGAATTCTGGGTAGGTTTTAGAATTTAATAATAGGAATTTATGCAATTTATAAAGCTATCATACTAGTTTGGAAACACCAAAGGAACATTTTCACTAAGTTATCTCCCAATGATATTCCAATGTGGTATTAAATGTGCTTTAAAAGTATTTTTGACTTTAAACCTAAAGAACAAATTTGAGGGTGAAATAGCAATTTTGCCTAGTTGACTAAACTTAATCAATGACCCCAAAAGTGAAACTAGAATTTAGAGACTCTAAAAATGACACAAAATAAAAGAAGTTTTCAGAGGATTTTGGGAATTTTTAAGTGCACACGTGACGTGACACAAACGAGCAATTTACCTCTGCTAAATAATTACCTATGGAGAAAATCTAATCCAATTAATAGAATACCAAATAATATTGATATGAAAAGGATAAAAGCAAAAGAGCAAGGTAAAAATAAAATGAAAATGTGCATAGGAACAAGGTATAAAAAAAATTGAAAATGTGAACTTTAACCCCTAGACTCCAACCTTTATAAATTGAATCCAGAAGTTGTGACTCTTGTGCATTCGCAGAGGCTGAGCTTCTTAAAATGGCTACTCTATTCGAGGGCAAGAACAATATTTCATCTTACTTACAAACACATTTGAGCTTCAAAAAGCTTTCCTTTGTCTTATGAGACTTGTTAGAGATATCAGAATTCTATTTTGATTTCTGAGCGAACAATAAAGACAGTCAAGGAAGGCCTAAAGCATTTCATATCATTAATCCATTCCAGAAACAACATAAGAACTAGAAAAACACTCAAGACTAATTTTTACAAGCCTCAGGCAATGAAAAACAAGTTGCAGATGTAGCCCTGAAACCCAAGCTAGGAAAGCTATACTCGACCAGTGCCTGTTTAATAATGCTTATTCTAGTTGAAAATCTTTCAAGCGGTTCTCAAACTCTTGCATCTTCATAATCATTTTGGAGCTACAGTTAGTTGTCCTTTTAAGAAATACTAAAAACGAAAAAAATACAAGCAACAGTGTTAATCATGCAAAGGTAGGGCTTCTAAGGGGGCATTGAAAATATTGAAATGACAAAAAGCAATGGTTGAAAATCTTAACATAAGTTTGCATAGAGAAGAATCGACTAGTTAAAAAATGTTTAACTGAATCAGAACTAAAACTTGAATCCCACCACAAACCAGGATGAAATCAGCTAGTGTTAGTATTAGCCTACAATTAAGGCGCTCTCAAGTCTCAGCCTTCAACCAATGCAGAATCTTTCCAAGGATGAGCTTTACTTTTGAACTTAAAAAGATAGAGAGATTGAATAGTATGGTTGGCTAAAACATAATTCATGAAATAATTGATGCAAGTTCTTCCACACTACTAATGGTTAAATTCCTTTAAATTTTAATCTGGTGATGCAAGTAGAAAACCACCATTGACATTATAGATGAATTAAAACAAATACGAGCTAAAAAACACACCGAGAATCTCTCTTTATTGTTTACTTAACTGTCCCTCATGTTCATCTAAAAAACTAAAACAAGAATAAATAACAAACATGAATCATGCTTAAAACTGCATCAACATCTTAATTTCTTGTAATAATGTCTTCACTACCAATTTTCTCCTCGTACGTCGCAAATCCACTCATCAAATGAAATAGACATATTCAAGGATAAAAACAGGGCTGTGGGAGCCAAACATGGACTGCTCATTCCATTGTATGATTGTAACTCCTCAAGTTGGCTAATCTTGCAATGGCTGCACACAGCACCTCAAAGTTTTTAAAATATGCAAATATTACCAGACCAAGTTGAATCTCCTTAAACAATTCTTACAACAATTCCTAGGAAAATAAAGCTCAAGTTAACTCTCTATCTGTTGGGCTTGCGGGTCCAACCCATTTGGTGAACCAATCACAACAAGTCCACATGTTAATGGGTTTGGTCAATTTTGACCAAACCAAGTAGGGAAACCAAGTCCGGTGACTTTAGAAATTAATCAACCGAGGAAAGGATAAGGGCAGCCACCACTTTTCTTTGTTTTGGAGAGAAACGAAGAGAGAGAAATTGGGGAGAGAAACAAGATAGAGAAACAACTTCAAGATCTTGATTGGAGGGTGATTTGAAACCCGATTGAGACGAAATTTTACCCATGCGATCCTCTCATCGAGTTCTACCCATCTACTAGTTCAAATTTTGGATTTTCTCTTCGTTTGGTAACACTCTTCCAAATCTACTTTTTTGACACTTGTTTTTTGGAAGTGATTTTGTAACAATTTTACTTAGTTGATATTGGTGATATTATTGTCATCTAAGTATTTTGGGTAGATCTACCTATTCCTATTATTGTGATAGTAGAGTTTTTTGACTGTACTAGATCCCTTGATTTTTCCCAATTTAAAATTTTCATGTAAAAATCTTGGTGTCCTGTGTTTTTATTTTTCTTGCACTTTTATTATTCCTGTGATATAATTGCTTGGCGATTTGGTTTATTTCCATTTTAATTAGTACTTGGAGAAAGAGTTTACGATCATGGGCTGACTCTAATAATTTGACTGCCTGCACCTGTACCTCTTTCCCAACAAAGTGGCATCAGAGTAGTCAGGTTGGATTGCTCAATTGTACTGGTTAAATGAATGACTCGGATAGTAGTTGTATGATTAAATTAAATGCAGCTAATTATTCGATTTGGAAGCCTAGAATGGAAGACTGTTTGTACTGTAGAGATTTGTTTGATCCTGTTCTAGGGGATATGGAAAAACCAAGTGACATGAATGATGATAAATGGACAGTTATGCACAGAAAAACTATTGGTAATATTAGAAAGTGGATTGGACGAAGTATCTTCCAACACTTTGCTAATGATACCAAAGCTGATGTATTGTGGAAAGAGCTTGAGAGCATGTATGAATGGAAGACCGGTTTGAACAAGGCTAGTTGTCTGAAATAGATTACTTGGATGAGATATAAAGATCGGAAAGATATGACTGAACACTTGAGTAATTTTCAGGAATTGGTAAACCAGGAAACTACATTTAATGTGAACTTGGATGATGAGGTGCAGACTCTATTATTGTTCAGTTCACTATCGGATAGTTGAAAAATCATGATAGTCTCCGCCAGCAATTCAACTCCCAATGGTGTGTTGACCATGGCTATTGCAAAAAGGCCGTGATGAATGAAGAACTAAAGAGGAAGGAACAAGAAATTATCTATAAGTCATAGGCCCTGGAGACAGAAAAGAAAGAAGGAAAGGGAAGAAGCAAGAATAGAGGACCCCACAACAGGAATGACAAATTCAAAGGCAGGTTTGAGTCGCGAAAAAATGATACATGCTTTTGTTGTAAAAAGAAGGGGTATTATATGAAGGAGTGCAGAATTTTAAAACGGGAACAAACTGAGAAAAAGAGCAAAG